GTTAGTGACTTTTAACCATGAAAAAAAAACAAGATTTATTCATAACATGTTATTTCAATTCTAACTGTCAATTTGACCGGATTTTACAGAAACTCATTAACACTTTGGTGTTGTTTTCAAAACATATGGAAATGGTTGGATCATATAAATTATGTTTATAATTTGGAATTAAAAATGAATTGTTCTCACGATATTAATGGAAAAGAAATGCTGAAAAATTATACCACTTCTACTTTATCGGTTTTTGAATACCATGTGAAATGTGGAACGATTGCATACTCGTAGAACCAGACTTGCTAGAAAAAGTACAAAGTTATATATCATTACTACTTTTTCATCATATGTTTATACTTCTTCGTCTTATAAGATTATAATTAGTTTAGAAAATCTATCGATACAAGAGAAAATTGCAGTTGTTTTACAAGATGCAAAACCGTTCAACGGGAGGTAACTCGCATTAAATATTTCGTTGCGATATATAAGTGTTGATGGGTTTTTTAAGTGGAAGTTACATATAGAACAACCGATGCGATCGATGTCTGTAAAATAACGATGGACATATTATTTAGATGTAAACCGAGGTTTGAGAAAATACAAACGCGTGTGGCACAGCCCGTAACGGTAAATTGGTGCGCCCAAATCACCTGGACCGGTTATATTAAATTAGATGTATTTTATTTAGCATCAATTAACATGTTCCCCACTTTCATGCGACACATTAATTGATTACAACTAACATGTAGTTTGCTTGAATTACCAATAAATACACCTGTAATATTTGCGCCACCGGGACAGATATCAATTTTTCTTGTTGTATTGTCAGCTTGAATACGTTGAATATGGAAGCTGTATGTGACTTTGTCTGCAATTCTTTTACTCAATAATCTGATAAAAAAAAACACTTCATGTCTTCGTTTTTCACGCACTGATCATATGTAGAAAGGAAATACAATAATATCTTAAACAAAAATGTTAAAATTAAGCGAACAACTCGTTAAGTTGATCCCATTTTGTGCAATAATTAAGCGGACCCCGCGGGATGCCTAGAGAGTACCTCGGGCTATATCGAGGATAAGCCCTGCGGGGCGTATCTGGAGAATGTTATATCGAAGACACCCGCGGGGTACTGAAGGTTGAGTATAACGAGGTCAGTCTGCATGGAGAGAACTCTCCAGGTATAAGTTCCGTCTATCCTCTTCTGAGACCAGCCCTGTGCAACGTTACCGTAAACAGACATTCCATAGAGGATCCGAGAGGGGTGTCACCAGCGCACATAACACCCCCTCGGTTAAAAAAATATAGGATATATCAGAGACGTATATTACAAATCTCTGTATTATACGTCTCTGGATATATACTGCATCCATCGCGTGACGACCCCAAGCTTCGTTTGATGTGTGCACAGTAACCTGAAAGTGAATGCTTTAGGTTACAATAAGCGTATCTGAATAATATATTTTTATTTCTTGACTTCTAGTTGTGTATTACACTGTCCAAGCCACACCCCACCCACCCACTGGGGTGAAATAGTTGACACTAATTGATTTGATATCACGCCCCAGCAGCAACTAAACGGGTCAGCGAACCATATTAGAGACGTTTGTATTTGTAAGGTCAGTGGTCCGTAGAAGGTTTCATTAATACGTTTGCAATAAGGACAATAAACGTTACATTTTAATGCTTTCAAATTAGGAAACTATGCGAGAAAGTGAAATCGCGGACTTAGCTATCTAGATAGCCAATATCTAATTCCGTGGTTATATCAGAGACGTATATATTACATATACGTCTCTGGTTATATCACGGAATTAGATTAGATTGCTATCTAAGTCCGTGGTTATATCAATAAATCAGAGACGTATATATTACGTGATATATACGTCTTTGAGTACATGTAAAGAAGTATTTGAGCCAATGATTGGAAGCGATTGTCATTCATGCTAGATAGACCAGCAGGTAATCAAGCGATGTGTATTTACTAGAAACGAAACTAGATTTGTTTTCTTCAGCATAAATTTTAAATAAATAGATAAAATGATAATAATATGTTGACGATTCATTCCATCGGGGCAGTTTACAAAAAAACAATCAAAGTTACCAAGTCACTCAAGACAGGTATACAATTTTGTGGAACATGACATGGTTCAGTCTACATGCGTCGTAAAATGAACTGCAAATCTGGAACGGTGACAACCCAATGAAAAAAATCTGGATCAACCCCTGCATTCTGTCCGCAATATTTCAGAAATAATTAGATTCAACATCACAAAAATATGTTTATATTTTGGGATGTAAACTGATCATCTTTCATGAATATATGACCTTTGAAAATTACTTTAAACTAAAATAGGATAAACATGTACCTGTAAACAAAACCACAAAATGACAGGTAAAAGTAATTGTACAAATGCCCACTGGGACTGGAGATCAGAGGGTTAATGCGATATACTAATTTTGGATTGAAAATGTTAGTAAAATAGTTACCGTAAATGAGCACGAAGACAATTGACGAAGAATGAAGGTACATAAAAAATCCAATATATATCAGATTGTCGACTTACCAACTCTAAAACTTCTTTATTTGAAAAGCCTATTTTAGCAGTTAAGATTTGCCGACTCTAATCATTAGCAAATACTGGATCTTTATATGTATGTTCCCATTGGTCTTTAATTGTGAATTGGTACTTAAATTGAAACTGATTGGAAAGACTAAATGGCCGATAGCTGGCCATCTTTGATTTTGACAGTTAAGTTTTGTTATCTCTATTTCTCACAAAGTACTCGGGGATCTTTCTCAAATCATATGTGTCTGTATGTTCGCCTAAGTTGGTCCCTTGTTAAAAATATCCCGACTTTAATGAGAATGCATCCTTCATTGACAGCACTTCTAATTATGTGAAAATTACAATTGTTTTAGATTTTAGCAAATAGGTCAGTTTTTTATACAATTATATTTGTATCTTAAACAGGATAATGTACAAGCAGGGGCGTAACAAACGGGTTTTCAATGTGTAAGCCCAATGATGAAATGTGCTGCCGAAGGCAACACACCGAAGCGCGTAGCGCGAGGAGGGGGAGGGTATGGGAGGCAGGCGCGTAGCTGTGCTTTTTCGATATGCATGCAGAAAGTCGCACCGAAGGTGCGAATGCGAGCGCCGAAGGCGCGAATCCATTCTAGGGGGGTACGGGGGCATGCCCTACCGGCTTCTTTTTTTTTTTTAGATCTAGAAGCTCTGTTGTGCCATCTGGTGGCTTTTTAGATACATTTTTGAGTGTTTTAATTTATTTTACAGACAACATTTTTTGGTTGATTCATTCACTTTGTTGTTGGAAAGCATCGCAAAAATTCAAATGTATTTCAAATGCGAAAGACAGCTCTCCTTTTTTTTCTCTACGCCAAAAATGTGTCGATTGTTGGAACTCCTCGAAAATATCCGTTGCGTCATATCTCTTTCCTGATGAATCTAAATTAACTAGATATTTAAAATGTCGGAGCCAATGTAAACAGATTGATTTCAGATTTTTTGCTGTTGTGTCCACCAAACCCTTTTTATATCATCAACATTTCTCAGAACATAAGATGACGGTAGCTCCTATTTCGATGTTTAGATATATGTATAGATCTACATATATATCCAGGAGCCCTACTGAAGATAGACCTAGGACTACTCTTAAAAACATACTTTATAAGTTCATGACGGGGAAAAATGAATGTATCTAACTACGTGTATCTATGATGTGAAATTCTCAATAGACCTATATAATGTCACAGATAAGCAAAAGCTAGGGGGTCTTACCCCTTCCCATCGATGTGGGTTGTGGGGGTCTCCCCCAGGAGATTTTTTTGTTTTCTAGAACGCCTGAGACGCGTTCTCCCGTGTTCTGGCGTCAGTTTCAATGGCCATTTTAAAGCAAGAAAATATTATTTTCCCCCATTATTTTACAAATATTTTGCTTTTTAATATTTTGTATCATATTGTCTTTGTCGCCTTTTTATTATTAAAATGATGTGTAAGCCCGGGCTTTTTTGCTACATAGGTTGTTACGCGCCTGACAAGCTTCCTGTTAAGATCTCCAACATGGGACTGGGTAATAGATCGAAGAAGGTAAAAGATCATATTTTGTAGATCTGATAAAGACCCTTTGATGATGGGTGCCAAGATCCGTTTAGGATCTCTTACAAAGTGTTCCAACCAAGTTTTGTTTTTGGGGGGTTGTTGGTTGGAACATTTCTATTTCATAATGCCGTAAAGATTTACTGTACAAACTGGCTTCTTACGCCAGTGCGGAATACTATCAGCAAACGTAGCCTAATTAAGTATCTTAAGTATACAAACACTTTCATTCCATGCTTTTGTTTAATGCTTTCAATATCATTTTATGTTATAAGTTAACTTATCAGGAATATAAAAAAAAAGTTAAAAAAATAAATAAATAAATAAATGAAAGTGTCTTTTTTATCTGTTACTAAATGACCTGCCGAGTTCAAAACGACCTGTTCATAAAAATGGAAATGCCAAGGAGTGGATCTGTTGCAGAACAAAATATTGTCGATCTTTTCAGTATGCCCCGGCCCATTTTTCAGTCCAATGTAGGCCTACAGCAACTCATGTTTTACAGAAATCGTTTATGCAACGCACGTGCAAGATTCTTTTCAGAAGCTTTTATATAATTTAATAAATTTACGTGATGCCTCCTGCTCATAAAATTATGAAGAAGTCTTAATTGAGTTAGCCATCCTTTATCATTAAAGCACGAGTAAATGACTAACGTTGCCAAGAACTGTCTACTAGACTACACCATAACAAATTTGTTTGTTAGAGTTACCTCCCATTACTTATGTTGTGGGATGGCGCTTGACACGGAAGTAAAAATTGATGAAGAGCAGACGGAATGAGGATGAAAATTATTCCAGAGGCGAAAATGTCGACTTCGTGGCGATTTAGCAAAGGCTAAACTCAGAAAGGTAAAAAGCTCTTAGTCAAGATTGATACTGAATAATTTTACTAACGTTACAGGTGTTTATCGGTGAAAATTCCATCACTGATCTGTCAACGGAATACCCACATGTTGGTATGCAACACAGCAGCTTCCTTGTGATGTATTGTGTCTTTCTGACTAATATAACTGTGAGAAGAAAACGTGAGTCAGTCATACACTACAAGTGGATGAAGGTGTGATCGCTGTGAGGTAATGATTATAGAGCAGGTCTGTAGATATAGTACCTTACTGATTTCACGACACAAATTATGAGCATTAAAATTTATTTATTATAGATTAATGGACAGTAAGCAGTAAGTAGGCCTAGTTGAACGTTACGTGCATATCATACCTGCGCGTCGATACCTGGCACTACTTCACGTCTAGTTATTCGAGAAGCTATATTATAGGCCTACATGGTTTCCTTGTGCATGTGATGAACATTTATTGTTGTCGAGATATGATCCCATTGCTAGGAGTCCAACAAGGGATTATTCTTCTACCTGTATGGAGACAGAGTGTAAATTCTCCAACGCATTGGGAGCAACTAGCTGGAAAATTCCGTTATTTACAATTAAAAGATTAAAAACAGCAGGTGATGTTGAATTTGGGTGATGAAACTATAATGATAGATGTTGAATTTGGGTCATGTTTGAAGACTGTAATGCAGACCGCCGGAATCCCTATAGTCCAGTGCTAACTGCCCAATAGCTGAGTAATGGAAAAATGTGTGACAAAATCAAGATGTACATGTTGTTGTGACTATGCTGGTGATTGCAGGTAGCTCAATTGATTAGAGAATTCTGTCAAGTAGTTCAGAGGTCCCGATCAGTTTGAATTCTTGTCTGGTCTTGCATATATTTCCTCTACTGTTACAGTGCACGTGGTGACTGACTGAACAACTCTTGTTTCAAATATTTGAAACAGAGGTAATAATTTTTTCGATGTACTCTCTCAGCTAGGCCTAGGAGTCTAACCTGGGACCTCTGGTTAAGTCTTACACTCTACCGAATGAGCTAAAGAGAGTCTCCCCAGCTGAGTCAGTAGGAAGCGACTGTTATTTTACAGGGTGACATATAGCATGCTTCCCATCCAGGATTAAGAACCCGTCCCGAGTTTCCAGGGCCGTAGCAATTCCTCTGCAAGTACTGCTGTGTATTTTTGTCATATTTTCCGGGGTCCCTACGTGGGTTCCAATGTAGCAGAGGTCATTATTTGTTCAATGCATGCCTGCGCTGGTTTACTTAGTTTTATGCTCTACCAAATTAGCTAAAGAGAAATTCTCCCTAGCCAAGTCGGTAAGAAGCAGCTATATTTTACAAGGGTGACATGTATTGTATGTGTGCTTGGCAGGGGGATACTCAAACGTGATCATGAGTTGTACATTTTTGGGGTCAAAGACTTGGAAAAATAAGGGAGGTGTAGCAGGACTGGGCCCAGTGACTGCAGATGACCAACCAGTAGCACTATTTTGTAGAGGTTTAGGAGGTCCTGGGTTCAAATCTCAGTCTGGCCCGTTGCATTTCTTTCCCCTGTGACGTAAAGATGTTTTGGCTCACCACGTGTACCAGTGTGACAGAATTACTATTTTTCCATAAAAAAAACACATTCCCATTTTTTTCAGGGTGTTATACCATTTGTGTGAAAGAAGCTAAGTAACAGACTAACAGGTACAATGCTGGAGTCCCTAAGTGGGCAAGGGTCACCAATGTAACTAGCAGAACTAGATGGGGTCAATCAATGACGACCAGGTAGTTAAATTGGTAGAGCATTTGTCTAGAGTTAGGAGGGTCTTGGGTTCGAATATCGGTCTAGTCATGCATTTTCCATCTCCTGTTACAGTGGTGCCTATGACCGACCCGTGTTTCAAGCATTTGGTTTACGTTTTGAAAGGGGATACCCAAACCTGGGTTGTAAATAGTTGTGTCTTCGGCGGGCAAATGCAAAGACTTAGAAAAAGGAGGGAGGAATGTAGCGGAACTGGACTGGGTCGATCATCGGTGACCTCAATTGGTAGAGTGTCCGTCTAGAGTGTGAAGGGTCTCAGGTTCGAACCCGTGTCTGGCTGTGCATTTTTCCCTCTCCTGTTACATATAACCATGATCAATTTGACAGTAGTTTACTAAAATTGAGGCACAAACAAGTGATTTTTTAAGGTGAATTTTAGGACTTATAAAGGCCCCTTTCTCTAGATAATGTGTGGTTTGTTTTTGCTGAAATCACTGCAAAAATGCTAATTGAGTGCAATATTTTCCCAAAGTCACAAGGCACAGGCCCCTGTTAAAAAGAGGTAGAAAAATCACTGCAAACCATGAGATGGTTTATTTTCACCACAGTGTGATTGAGGGAAATATATTAGAAATTTCATCGTAATATTTAAATAGTAGTTGTAGACTAATGGTATGACGTCGACAACGGTGAGTTAATATAGCTATACTGCAATAAGCTTGGACCATGACCTCCAAACTTTTCCTCTACATTTCTCACTTCTTTTTTTCTGAGTCTTCGCCCCCGAAGACGACCACTATTTACAACCATAAATCATGTATCCCCCCTGGTTAGGATACACCCAGTACTTGAAACGAGGGTTGGTCAGAGGCACCACGGTAACAGGAGAGGAAAGTGCACGGCCAGACAGGTATTACCCGGGACCTCCAAACTCGAGACGGATGTTGGAACCAACTGAGCTACAAGATAGCCAGCAATGGACCAACTCCAATTCTGCTTCAAGTATAATTCTCTCCCTATCTTCTTCTATGTCATACAATTTTAAAACAACTCCACTTTTTTCAATAATTCCATTTCGGCTATGCAAAAATGACCCCATTTAATTTGAAAGGACCCCATTAGCTATATAATTAATTTGATTATTTATCAAAATACTTAAAAAATTGCACATCATTTTCTGTACTACTTGCACATTATATAAATACCATTAAGTCCCAATTAGAAGTCATATATATTGATTGAGAAACATGACTTTAACTTTTGCTTCATTTAAAAACATGTAAGCTTTATATATCAACACTGTATTAATACACAAAATATGTATCTCCTTGTATTAATTTTAATTTGAGTATTGTTACATGTAGGTGAACCAGGAAATAAGATCAACAAAATAAGCAATAGAGACTAGTGCTTCAATCCTATAATAACTAAGTACTACTGTGATCTGTTGTCAAAACTAGCAATATGCATTGTACATGTTTGTATATAAATGTATATCCTGTACATGTATGTATATAAATGTATATCCTGTACATGTATGTATATAAATGTATATCCTGTACATGTACAAAGCCTGAAGTTCCTGTTCTATGTAGTACGCACTACATACATAGGGAAAGAAAATTTGACATTTATTTTTATTTTTTTATCGTTCAGCTTCAATTGTATACAACTGTTTGGGTCCTGTTTGAAATGGTTTGTACTGCAATTACATAACCTTATTTATTTTGCAACAATTTTCAAACAATTTTTACAACTTAAGTTAATCAATCTTTAATTGTCGGCTTGGATGTTAGCGCGTTGTGGACTTAATGTAGGAGGAAACCGGAGTACCCGGAGAAAGCTCACTTGACCTGGCAGGTGACCATGACCCCATACCTTTTCACATCCGAATTGAAAGGCAAGTGTGCTACCCACTGCCAGTCTTTATAAATTCTACCAGGATTGGTCCAAGGTCTGCCCCCCCCCCCCCCTTGGGGACTCAATCCCTGGGTTAAACTTTGAAATGGTCAAGATACCCACCCCAAACCATATGTATATATGATTACTGTACAAAAAGAGACAAACAAATTCATGTCCATATAATATATGTACATTTTTTGAGTATAAAGATACAAATACACATCTGCCTAACAGGACGGCATGCCCTGGGGTCTGGCCCCACCCTTGGAAATTTAATCTCTGGTTATAACTTTGAAAATCAAATGGTTGGAATCTCCCCCCAGGGCTTCAAGTAGATTTGTTTCTTTAATGGTCTGGTACGCTACTAGTCAAAAATATCTACACACTAACTTGAAAATCTGGTGGCCTAGTCCAAATTTTCTTCCCACCAAGTTACAATTTGTTCCTGTTTTGGGAAGAAGGTTACCAGTGTACTGTTGTATCTTTTTTGATGTTTGAATATTGTTCATGTGAGTGAAATATCACAGAAATGAAATTATTATGTATACTTTATAATTTCTTTCATTGGCCTTTCTATTTACTTTCCTTTTTGTCTTATAAAGGCCCCTTCCTCTAAATATATTCTGCTGGTTTTTTCCCAAAATCAATGCAAAAATTCGCTTTATTTTCTCAAAAATGCTTTTTGTAGGTGACATTTTTCTAAAGTCACGGGGCACAGGCCCCTGTGGAAAGGAGGTAGAAAAATCACTTATAGTGTAGAGGGTAGAAATCAAAAATCAAATTAAAACGAGAATTCATATGCAAGATGGGACTCATTGTTACAACAGGATCCAACAATATGTATGTCAAAATAATAAATAATTGTTCGATGTGTATGTCTTATTTTTTTCCGTCCATGATGTTTGATAATTAAAACTCCACAACATCATATAGTGTCTTTCTAGCAAGGAGAGTCATGCATGTCTGTAATGAAACCCCTTGATATAAATGTCTACCCTGATCTTGTATATATATGTACGGTACACATGTGTGTACTCTGTGCACTTCAACCAGGAAGTCTTAAACATAACTATGTAAACACAGCTAGAAAGGACTATTTGTAGTTATAGTTCGTGTTGCATGAACCTAATAATAGAATAATTTGGCCACTCCTGTTCTGAAATATTTTAATATCTTCAAGGTTATAATTATTGGTAAAGGTATATTAAATAACAAATGTTTATCTAGTTGATAATATGAGTAAGAAATGAGACTGTGGTGCAATGTATACTGATATTTTAAAGTCTGGTGCAATAATGATTTACCTGACATGTATAATATACCATTTTTAAAGCAAAATCCTTTTTTTTTAAGCTACATTTGTATTTTTAGCCTTTTGCATCAATACCTAGTAATATTAATGCATTAAATATTCAAAATGTTTTTTATTCAAAACTCATCAAAAATACTTAAATATTTGGATTCAAAATATTCTCCTTAAGACATAAGTTGGCAGACACTTAATTTTGACCCCAAAAAAAGCCCAAATATTTCATTTAGACCGTTCAAGTTGACCTAACAAGGCTATAGAACAAACTCAA